CCCCCCCCAACGCCTTTTAATTTAACGTTTAACATTGAAGTTTAATTATCCTCGTCTCTTTTTAAATCTTAAATTTGAGATACTGTTTTTAGTCCCTCCATGAGGGAAATGGGCAGTAAAATAAATAAGCCTGATTTTTTGCATTGGGCCTTCAGGCCTACCACATTCAATGCTGTGGGAAAAGGGGAGTGGGGGGTCATATGGAGTAGGGAAGATATATAGTCATAATAATATTCCTTTTTCAGAGAGTCAAGGACAACTTGCCCTGCACCTGGAGTGGTGTGACTGGGGGGCATCTCCAGTTGGGGCCATGCTTGATTGGGCCATGTGACGGACATGTGGGTGCAGGGGAAGGGACTTGGACTTCCATTTGGGTGGAAATGAAAACCTGGAAGCTTTCAGATTTGCAGTTTCCCAGTTGTGCCAATATGGCATCTTGAATAAAATGGAACTTTGAGGAACTTCAAGCCTCGGAGTCTTCTTTTGTTGGGGGTGTTACTTGGAACCCTAACATATGCAAGGTGAAAGAAATGGAAACTTGTTGCAGTGCCCCAAAATGGAAAGGATGGCAAATTCAGGATTCACAGTTATTCAGGAGAGACTAACAGTCCATCACTAGATGGACATCTACTCAACCTCAACCTCAGCAAATTTTAAGAAAAAATGGCTGATCTACAGCTAGAGAGGCTATTATAGTGTGGACACTTACACTGTGAAATGAGTGATCTCTTATTATCCATTCAAATTTAACACTCTATGATTAGTGGATAACCAGTTATTCCAAACAAGAAACTGTTCTTTTTTCGTGACCCAACAAATGCGCGCACGACAAAAGTGCGATTGAAACCGCGGCGCGAAAACCACGACGTCTTCAACACACCCACAACAGCGAGCTGACAACAGCGTGCCGACAGAAGCGCGATTTAAGTTAAGGTAAGGGTTAGGTTCAGGGTTAGGTTCAGGGTTAGGTTTAGGGTTAGGGTTAGGGTCAGGGTTAGGTTTAGGGTTAGGTTTAGAGTGTGCTTCTGTCGGTGCGCTGTTGTCGGCGCGCTTCTGCACTCATTCGTCGGCGCGATTTAGAACTCACGGTTTTCTCGCCGCCATTTCATTGGGCGCGCTTCTGTTGGGCGCGCTTTTGTTGGTGAACCTTTTTCTTTTACTATTTAAAACTAATATCCACCAAGGACCTTTGCTTCACAAATAAACATTCCTTATGAAGCCCTTTCAATGAAACTTAAATTATGGAAATGGCACTTACTCTTTCTTCTGAGCATGGACTACATGGCCCCCAATCACTCCAGGTAGTCAGCAAGCAGTCAACGGGCTCTGGAGAATTAGGTTCCCGTTTCAATCTTAAAATAAAATCATTTGAAATGTTTCTGGTTTCATACATTGTAAGTTTGCATGTATATTGTTTGTATATTGCAAAGAAGCAATATAGGAACACTGCACCATTTTAAATAGAGATGCAATGCCATCTTTTTGTAGGTCTCGCAACGAAACATTGCATGGCAATATTTGCTCTGGACTATGCAATTTCAAAGGTGGCTCAGTGGCTAAGATGCTGAGCTTGTTGATCAGATTGTCGGCAGCTCAATGGTTCGAATCCCTAGTGCCACATAACAACGTGAGCTCCCCTTACTTGTCCTAGCTTCTGCCAACCTAGAAGTTCAAAAGCATGTAAAAATGCAAGTAGAAAAATAGGAACCACTTTAGTGGGAAGGTAACAGTGTTCCGTGCGCCTTTGGTGTTTAGTCATGCCGGCCACATGACCACAGAGACGTCTTCAGACAGTCCTGGATCTTCGCTTTGAAACGGAGATGGGCACTGCCCCCTAGAGTTGGGGACAACTAGCATATATGTGTGAGGGGAACCTTTACTTTTACCTATGCAATTTCAAGATGCATGCTATTGGAATATGCACATGAAAACTGCATGAACATAGCACAGGGTTGAGTTTTGCAAACTGATTTGCAGTTTCTATGGGCAAGCTTCTTTTGAAAACAGAATTCAAGCAAGAAAGATTGTAGCTGGTATGATTTAATACAAATAAGCTTCAATATATAACTTGATGGGTTTGTACATTCACATTTTAAAGAATTCTCAGGAATTTTCTCTGCACCGCTGATGTAGGAAAAGTCAGTGATGACCCAAGATGCAAGAGGTGTGTGTGTGTGTATGTGGTTTTGTTTGGGTGCCTTTTGTGTTTGCTATCAGCTCACCCTGGAAATTTTAGTACCACAGTACTAATAAAATAATGTGTGAGGTTCCCGTGGTTCGCCCATGAGGCCAATGGTGAGAAAAGACAGGAGACGACCTTTCTCGNAACAATCAGCTGTGCCACATGATTTCTAGCCTTTTTTAACTACCTATTCAGGCGAACTGGTAGCATTTTTTACTACTGGTTTGGGCGAACCAGCTTAAAACAATAACATTTCACCCCTGCTTCAATGTCTCT